AACGCGAGGAAAACACCAGCAATGAGAGCACGGATGTAAGGGCTTTGCATTTCTTCTCCAGCTTCTGCCTTGATTCTCACGTATAATCCAGAGTTGGGCTTAAACTTTCAACTTGGTCTTAGAGCTCTCAGCTGTGAAACAGCCCTTTAAACTGGGCAAGAAACACTGGCTTTGAGAAGTTACTGAAAGTTCTGTTTCTGTGGTTTTCAACCTTTTTAGCATCAGACTCCCTTTTTAAGTAGAATCTTGGATTTCCAGTATGGAAGCTGATCATGGAAACAGAAAGGAACCCCTGAAAACTAGAAAATTACCTTTCTAGAGCAGGGGTTGGCAAACTTTATTTCCTGTAAAGGTCCAGATCACGACTACTTTGGGCCTTGCAGACCATGTATCATCTCTAGCACATTCTTTTCTTTTCTTTTTTTTTTTTCAAACAATACTTTATAAACGTGAAATCTGTTCTGTTCTGTTAAGCCATACAAAACAAAAACGGGCCTAGACTACAGTTTGCCATTCCCCCGTACAAAACTTGGCTTTGTAGGAGAGTCGTCTGAGGAGCTTTTCCTGGTCTGTCATTTGCCCATAGTGTATCTAGAATTGCCCTCATTGAGTCTGACCTACTGAAGTTACCCTTAAATTGTCTGTTAAAGGACACTTTACAGCTTATTGCTTAAATTCATTAACTGAATGTTTTTCAGGTTTTGTGTTTTTTAGAGTAGGCCCCTAAAATTCTAGAATGTGATAAGAAAGAAATGTTAATCCAAGTCTTTGGCTCACCACTGCTTTGTACCCTTCGCTACCCCACACTGCCACTTACTCCTTATCCCCCATCCTCAACTCTGAGGTAGGGTGGCCCAATCCGAGGGGTCTCCTAAATGTGGGGTACAGAAAAAGTTAGTAAATATCAGTTTACTGTAAATAACAGCTTAAAAAGAAAAGGTGATTAGAGCAGCTAATGGAAGGCATAACATTATGTTCTCTAGCTTCAAAGAAAGGAGAATCTTTTTACCATTAATATTGTTCAGATCACTTCCTAACAAAACGTTAACATTTTTTTGTCTCCTTTGTACTACCCTGTAGGTGACAAAGGGAGACAGCAAAAATGCTAAAAAGAAAAATAATAAGAAAACCAGCAAAAACAAGAGCAGCCTAAGTAGGGGCAATAAGAAGAAGCCAGGCATGCCCAATGTTTCCAATGACCTCTCGCAGAAACTGTATGCCACCATGGAGAAACATAAAGAGGTAAGATGAGGCCTCCAAGAATGGGAGAAAAACAAAGCAGGATTTCTTAAAAACAAAAACAAATGAACAGACAAAAAAACTATCCACCATGGTTGGCATTTATAACATGAGCCCCAGACCATTGGAAATTCAGAAGAAAGAAATCACTTGTCAGAAGGAAGAAAAGAGGATGGCTAGAGTGGGTGGTAAGAACTGGAAATGATAAGGTTTCTTTGATTTGCAGCTTTTAAAATCTAGATGGTGTTGGATTGTATCTTACGTAGTCATGTACCACATAATGATGTTTTGGTTGGTCATTGATGGACTTCAGATGCAACAGTGGTCCCTTAAGATTATAATGGAACTTAAAAGTTTGTGGTGATACTAGTGTAAACAAATCTACAGAGCCGCCAGTCATATAAAAGCATA